AAGGAAGAGAAAAGATACTTGGAGAAGTAAATCAAAAAAGCTTATGGCCTTGAGATGATTCATAGTCTTATTTTGATGATGATTTAAGAAGTTCACTATTTGCCTCGTCTTTTGATTATGAGAATAGTTACAAAAGAAGTAGAAGGTCTAGGTCTTTCGCATTAGAAAGGATGTGAAGGGGACTAAAAGGAGGGCCCATGCTTGGTCTTCAAGTAGTGAGGAGTTTTTTCATATGAGAAAGCAAAAAAGGTTTAAAAAGAAATGATGAGAGGAAGAAAATGCACGAGAAGAAGAGGAGAAAAAGGAAGACATGCTTGGTCTTCAAGTAGTGAGGAGTTTCTTCATACGAGAAAGCAAAAAAGGAGGCTAGGAGAGATTTAAGTGTTAGCTCTACTAGTACAGTCATAGAGATGTTCAACTTGTTAGAGTATTAGTAGTTAAAGTGATGAGAGTGAATATGAGGGGTGTAAAGGCAAGCTTGAAAAAACAAGAGGATGAAAGAAGAAAACCATATAATATTAAAAATAAAGATGAAAGGAGGAGATATTGGTCAAAAAGTTGTTCATTATGCAGTAGATATGGTTGGAGGCAGTGGTATTTTTATGTCAAACACAATGATTGGTGATAACCCCTCAAAACGGCCAAGGTCCATTATTATTCTTCCTGAAAAGGATAATGAGATGAGAGAATTGGACAAAGATAAGCATAAAGAAGAGATGACATATGATCATGATGATTACCCTTCTTCTACAAGTAATGATAATAATGACGGGTTAAATAACATGGAGAAAAGGCAAATACATGATGAGAATAGGGAATATTATATTGCTTCCAATATTAAAGCTAATGAAATCACATAAAGTGACAAGGTTGGAGTGGGTCAACTTCCTAGAAATAAGTTTGGCTATGACATTGACAAAGGTGGAATAAATGATATGTTAAAAAGGAAAAGAATGACATTTCACGGGTTGTTATTATTATTTTTTTATTAATATGAGTGTCTAGACCAGTTTACATGTATTTTAAATAATCTTACGAGCCCTAAAGTTAACAACCAAGTAAACCTCTAGTGGCTCTTAAGGTTGTGAAACTCGAAATAGTGACTTCTAGGGATCAAACCTAAAGCCTAATCAGTTGAGCTACACCTCTAAGGATTATTATTAATAGTGTGAGTGATATGATTTGGGGACAATTTTAGGATAAAAGGCTTTGGAAAATATAATAAGTTTTCAAAGTGGACTTGGATAATATGCTAAAAAGTTTTCGAAGTGGACATTGACAAAGGTAATAATGACATTTCATGGGTTAGTATTATTATTATTATTTTATTAATATGGGTGTCTAGACCAGGTTACACGTATTTTGACTAATCTTACGAGCCCTGAAGTTAACAACTAAGTAAACCTCCAGTGACTCTAAGGTTTGTGAGACTCGAATTAGTGACTTCTAGGGATCAAACCTAAAGCCTGATCAGTTGAGCTACACCTCTAAGGATTATTATTAATAGTATGAGTGATATGATTTGGGGATAATTTTAGGACAAAAGGCTTTGGAAAATATAAAAAGTTTTTGAAGTGGACTTGGATGATATGCTAAAAAGTTTTCGAAGTGGACATTGACAATGGTGGAATAAATGATATGCTAAAAAGAAAAAGAATGATGTTTCACGGGTTATTATTATTATTTTTTTATTAACATGGGTGGTTGGGCCAGCTTACACGTATTTCAATTAATCCTACAAGACCTGAAGTTAACGACCAAGTAAACCTCTAGTGGCTATGAGGTTTTTGAGACTCAAACTGGTGACCTTTAAGGAGCAAACCTAGAGCCTGATTAGTTGAGCTACACCTCTAAGGATTATTATAGTGTGAGAGGCATGATTTGGAGATAATTTTAAGATAAAAGGCTCTGAAAAATATAAAAAGTTTATGAAATGGACTTGGATAGTTCCAAACAGCTACAAAGAGTGTTATGATTTAAAAAGGTAAGCATAATGGTGCGGTGGAGGCATTGTCTCATGTGATGCTTGAACTAGGCCAAATTAAATCCTCAAACAGTAATCTTAATAGAATGGCGAGAGAAGACTTTGCTCAGTCTTTGCAAAATAAAAAGATTCTCGATTGAGGGATTTGTGGTAGTGAATCTAGCTTTGCTAAGAATAATGTTCATCCACCTAACTAGGTGGCTATTTCTAGCAGTGAAAGGTTAGTACAGTTTCTAGTTTTAGTAAAAACAAAACACGGTTGATTATATCAGTATTGAGGCAAGCATTAACAAATGCTACCACTATTTAGAAGAAACTCTAGATTCACCGGTAGCTAATTATACGAAGTTGGCGAGTGAGATAAGTATAGGTAAGAGTACTACCCTAAAAGAGACACCTGCCTCACGGGAAGCATATCAGGCTAAGTTGGCAAGTGGGACTAGCTTAGGCAAAAATGCCACCTGAAAGAAGCACCTACCTTACTGGAAGCCAATTAGGCAAAGTTAGGGAATAGGAATAATATAATTAAGAATGTCACTCATGGTGCTCACACTGTCACCTCTCTCATCTCTCCCATAATTAATGGCAATAATATCTCTGTTTCTATTCCTGTCGAGCCTTCAGCCTGCATTGAATCTTCAGCATGAAATATTACCTAGAATAAATCACTTGATGAAGACAAAAAAAAGGCTCACAGTTGGAACAGAAGACAACGTCTGTAATGCGCGGTGGGGAAATGGTTCAGGTTAGTATTTGAACCTGTCCTAGGCACGTTAAATTAGTTTATGTGATATTATAAGTTGTGAAATTGACATATAATTTTTTTTGTTTATGCATCAAGGTTATTACAGTAATCGAAAGTTTTGGTTTTTCTTATTTATTATGGTAGGTAAATTTACAAGGTCTTCATTCCTAAAAGAATCCTTGTATTGGCTAGGAGGCAACTCAAGCAGTGATGTTTATGGTGGGGTAGGTATGACACTGTATGTGAAGGTTTTGCTTATGTATCTTATAATAACAATATTTGCATAATAAGATAGGAACCTTTACAATTAATTTTGACCGACTTTTAATCAACACTTGAACTTTAGTGGGAAGAAGATGATTTTTGTATTAATCCTCATATCTTAAATAGTGAAAAAATCTCTTGTTTCTTATGGTTTATGAATTGTTCAAGTTTTTGCTCTCTAAAAAACTGCATTTTGATCAAGATCACAATCAAAACTATTGTCAAAAATTACATTTAGTATTATAATAAAGTTGTGCTTCAATGAAGCAGCATAAAAATTGTTCTTAGTGGTAATTGGAGTATTTGGAGAAAAATTCTCAATTAATTTAGAAAGAGCTTGTCAAATAAAAAATAAAAAGTCTAATAAATTTAGAAACGTTTAAAATTGCTTTTTTAATAGCGGGAGGATGGTGGGGACACCAAACTCAAAACATTATTTACACACTCATATATAGCTCAAACCATTGGAAGATTAGACTTTAGCTTATGTTTTAGTTTAATTTATATGAACTTTTAGTTGAGCTTTATTAATTAGGTTTTATTTGTTGGGTTTACTTAATTATTTTTTGATATTTTATTTAGTGGTTCATAAGTCTAATCACTTGTTCTAATTAGAGTTTTAGTATTTATTTCTATTTTTATAAATGTTATAGAATTTTTTATGATTAATGAAAAATATTGGAGATTTGCGTATTTTTCTTTGCCTTTTATTCTTAGCTTCCTTCTCTAGAAGCTTCTTTCTTTTCTGCTTTTCTGCTTTTAGTTTATTGTTCCATTTCAAATTTGATATCAGAACCTAAGATTTTAATTGTTCTTATAATTAAATGATTTATGAGTTTGTTTAAATTCATTGATATTCAATCTAATTCATAAACCTAAATCTTGTGGGAAACTTTCATTAACATTGAAAAAAAATGCAGCAATTTTTTTTTTTGTATTTTCCTATTTACTATAAAAAATCCATAAAGAAAAAAAGCCAAACACCCTTCCCCACACTTCAACAACCCCAATCCAGTCACTAGTTCCTACAAATCAAGCCACGACAATAGCGGAAGCCACCTACCCCAATAAAAACCGATCATTTCCTCTATTTGGTGTAATTATAGTCCATGACAACATAACAAAGACCATCACAATAGTTAAAGATTAACCCACATATTCACACCACTTTGCACAGCCACAACAAGCAACAACAACAAAGAATATGATTGTATGTAACAAAAGGAACTTATAACAACTTTCAAGGAAAAGTAATTAACTCATGCCATATTACTAGCCAAGTCAGCTCATTGGTTCCATACCAGTGCCATATCACCTCAACTTATTGTGCAAACGCCGTGCAGCTATAAAGCCACGTCAGCACCATATCATTCAACATGTAGTTTTTGCCACCTCAACAACTTTGACGTCAGTTTCCTGCCATTTCAGTTGCCACATCATCATTGTTTACCACCACATCTACTCTATCAGCAGACAAGTCATCTAGTCTGCCATGCTAGTGACGATAAATTCTAGTTTCCTCCAAACAATCTAGTTAGTGAATCACTCTCCTTTTTGATATGTTAAATTTTTTTTTTTTGTTATACACTTGTCATTTAAAGTTGATATTAGGGGTGTTCAAAATGATCAATTAACTGAAAAAATTGAAGAAAAATTAAATAAAAAAATCAAACCAAAATAAAAAAACAATTAAACCAATTTAAAAACTATAAATGTTAACAAGTCCGGTTTGATTTCAGTTTTGACTCAGAAATTGGGCCACACTGAACCAAACCCATTAAAAAAAAACAGTATAAATAGTTAAGTTAACCTAATCGGCCTCCCTCCCTGACATCTCATTCTCATCTAATAAAGTCGTCTCCTTCCTTCCCACTTCCTAGAAAAATTTCCAATCTTCCTCGATAATTAATTCCCAATCTTCCTTTCCTAGAAACCATCTTCATTTGAGCAACAACAACAAAGTAAATTCCATCTTCATCTTTGATTCTTTGTTTAATGGGTTTGAAAGTCTATTCCATCTTCATCTTTCCCAGAAATCGTCTCCATCTTTCAAGTGTCTTCATTTGAGTAATGATAGCAAGGTAAGTTCCATCTTCATCTTTGATTCTTCATTTAGTGGGTTTGAAAGTCTATTGTATTGCATCTTCATCTTCATCTTCCCCAAAAACCATTTCCATCTTTCAGGCTTCGACGTTTAATTCTATTTGTTGATTGTTGAAAGGTAAATTTTTATTACATACTTCTTTTATTCCGTATATATTGCTTTAGATTTCAAATAATCTATTGACTGTTGCTTTGTTGCTTTAGTTTAGATAACGTGATAAATATCATGGGTTGTTAAGTTGTAGTTACTTCTGTGACTATAGATTAATGAGCAACAAAAACGATATAAATTAGTTGCTTTAAAAGTTCTATAATAGCGATATAGATTAATTGTTGAGAGACTGTTAATAGCTAGTCCCTACTGCTACCCCTGTGATTTTAAGCTTAAATTTATATCTTTGTTATGTTATATTATGTTTTGTTAATATTTTGTTTAGATAACAGAAGCAATACATGATTTCCATTTTATTGACTATTGCATTTCCTTTTCCAGATGTAAAAAATATATGTTTCAATTTCATGCTAAATTATTAGTCTTTTATTTACTATTGATAAAAAAATATATGTATTGCTTCTAATTAATTTGACAGCGAATTTGATAAAATAGGTATATAAATTATTACAAAATGTAGGCATATTCCGTATGTTTTGCAAAATGTATCATATGATTTTTTCTTGCTTTTCCATTAACTGGCAGAATAGTAAGCAAAGGCTGCAAGACAATCTTATGTTATTTCCGTATGTATTGTATCTGCATGTATTGCAAAATGTATCTACATAACTGAAAATAATTGCTTGATTGATGTTGTTGGTGGTTTCTTAATTTTAGATGGATAATCGGGAAGATCTTACACCAATTGAATCAAATCCTTCAAGTTCAGAACCCAATTCTTTACCTATTCCAATTCCAGTTCCAGTTACTACTTTTAATACAAATAGTAACCCTGAAAGTGAAGGTAATCCAGCTTCTAGATCTAATAAAAGAAAAACATTTCAAATTTGGGATCACTTTAAAAAACTAGATGGTAATGTTAAGGCTCATAGGGCTGCATGTATGTATTGTGTGAAATATTATACATGTCATACTATGTTTAATAGGACTTGTAACATGTGGAGTCATTTAGGTGTATGTAAAAAATTTCCTTTTATGATTGACCGAAAACTAAAAACTTTAGTCTTAGAACCTAGGCCTATAATAAAAGGGGTGATAATGAAGAGGAAAATCTGGTGACTATTGAGGTTGTGGGTTATAGTTATGAAGAATGTAGGAAAACCCTAGAAAAAATAATTATACTTGATAAACTACCTTTTAACTTTGTTGAAAACTAAGGATTTAAATCAGTTTATCAAGTAATGCAACTTAGATTTGATGTTCTTTCTTGTTTGACGATTTGGAGAGCTTGTTTGAAAATTTATATAGTTGAGAAGGAAAAATAAAAAAAATCTCTCAAGGGTCAACGTGTATGTTTGACAACTGATACTTGAACATCAATCCAAAATATTAATTATATGTGTTTGACTGCCATTGGATTGATGAAGGTTGGAATTTGAATAAAAGAATTCTCAACTTTTGTCAAGTTTCTAATCATAAAGGTGAAATAATTGGCTAAGCAATTGAGAGTTGTTTGTTGGAATAGAGAATTGATAAAATTTTAATAGTTATAGTAGACAATACAAGTTTAAATAATTTGATAATAAAATATTTGAAAAGAGTAACAAGTAATTGGGTAACTAATATATTATTAAATGACTTCATGCATGTTAGATGTTGTGCACATATTGTTAATCTTATTCTATGTGCGAGATTGAAAGATATTGATTATTCAGTTGTTAAGATTAGAAATGCAGTTAGATTTGTTAGATCTTCTCCTTCTAGACAACTTGTTTTTAACCAATGTGTGGAGAGGTTGAAAATTGAGGGTAAAAAATATGTTTGCTTAAATGTTGCAACTAGATGGAACTCTACATATATCATATTAAATGAGGTTGATAAATTTGATGTGGTTTTTATGAGATTAGAAGAAACCGATCCTAGGTATTTGAGTTACTTTGATGTTGATTTAAAAGGAAAATAAAAAACTTAGGTCCTCCTACTTTAGAAGATTGGGAAAAGGCTAGATCTTTTGTCAAGTTCTTGAAACTATTTTACACAGTTATATTGAAATTTTCTGACTCATTATATGTGACATCTAATTCTTTCTTCCATGAATTCATCTCCATGCACACAAGTATATCTCAACTTTGTAGAAGTAAAGATGTTTATGTAAGTAAAATGACCAAGAATATGATGGCAAAGTATAAAAAATATTGAGGTGATTAAGATTTATAAAATTTTTTATTGTATGTAGCTATTGTGTTAAATCCACGTTTCAAATTGAAGTATGTGATATTTTGTTTTGAAAGATTGTATGATATTGAAAAGGCTGAAAATTTTACAGTTAACGTTAAATATACTTTGCTAAGGTTGTTTGAGTATTATATGAATGTTGATGAGAATGCTGATGTTGTTCATAATGTTGGAACTAGTATAAATGAAAATGTCAATGTTGATTTAATAGTGGTAAATGATGATATGTTGGATGACTTAGCTTCTCAATTTAAAAAACATTTAGAGGAAGAAGACAATGTCCAAAAAAAAAACATTGAGGTTGAGAGGTATTTGGGTGATGATTGTAAGGATCCTAATGATTTTAAATTAGATATTTTGGGTTGGTGGAGGTGTAAAGCTATAAAATACAAGATTTTTTCTAAGGTGACATAACACGTGTTAACTATTCTGGTAGTTACAGTTGTTTTTGAAGCAGTTTTTAGTACTAATGGTTGTATTTTAGATCCATTTCGAAACTCTTTATCTCAATCAACAATGCAATCACTAGTTTGTTGTTAGAATTGGTTGAGTTTAGTATCAATTCCAATCAATGTCATAAACTTTATAGATTATATTGAAAATTCTGAGATGATTGAGTTAGGTAATTTCTTTTACAAATTTAAATATAGTTATTTTATAATATCATTTATTTACCTATGTTTAATCTAACATTTTAATTTATGTTTTTGTAGAATTTTTAATCTATTTTAATTTATGTTTTTGTAGAATTTGGTGAAAGTTTAAAAATCTCAATTGATTGTTTGTAAGTTGTATTCATGATGTTGGTGCAATCCTGGAATATAATTGTTTTGGGTAATTAATTTACTTTATCTTATTAATTCCTTTTAAAATTTTGCATTGCTAGTTTTTTTAATAGTCGAACTGTAATATATTACTAATTTACTAGTGTTACTTTATAACATTATCCTTGCTGGAAGTTTTGGATGTTGTTGTTATGCTCGTGTTAGATTTTTTTATTCAAATTATGCTGAATGTTTATGATAATTTATTATTGGTTGCCATTTGCTAATTTAAATTTTTTTAGTGTGAACATCTCTTTTAATCTGAGGTGCCCAGATTTGATTATGTATTTTGCATATTGCATTGATTTGAATTTTCATAGTTTATTTCTTTGCATATTAAAGATAGATAGAACATTTCAAATTTATTGTTACTATAAGCATTTTAAAAAAAAATTTAATATTTTAATTTCATTAAAAAGCTTATAACAAAATTAATCAAATTATAATATTTTAAAGATTTTTGATTAAAAAGCCTATAAACTTAACCCAACAAGAAAATTTAACAGCCTAATTTAATCTAAGCCTATTGAAAAAAGTAAAAAAAGCCCATTAATTTAATGATTAGGTTTCCTGGTTTTTTAGCTTGAAAACTAGATTCAACTGAACTGGTTCGGTTCGAATTGGAATTTGGTTTGATTCATTTTGAATTTTAAAAAATATGAGTTATTTAGTTTGGTTGGTTTTTATGGTTTAAACCGAACCAAACTGAACCATAAACAGGCCTCGTTGATATTAATATTACTTCTGTGCCTAGGCAAAAAATCATAAAAAAATCTCACCTTATATTTTTTTAGTTGTTCATTTTTATTTGTCAACCTTTGTTGTCATTGATATCTAGTATCTTGTTCTATTTGGCAATTATGAGTTGTTGCTTTTGACATTTTGTTTGATTAATCATTTACACTTAAAGGTCTAGCATTACATGCTTAAAATTTTATTGGTGTATTTTGTTCTTGATTAATCTCCATATTAAAAAAATACTGTTATTTTTGTATTATAATTTCACTTGCATGAACCATTTATGATCTCAATTCCATTTATAAGTTAGTGTTGCATGCATTTGTGTCATGATTATCTAGTGTACAAGCTTAAGTTTACATTTACTGTAAACCTAACCCTTAGTAATACTTTTATGATCATTTAAAGGGAACTATAAACTTAGATGATCAACATGTTTACAAGAATTGAGCCCCAATAAAGTTTTCAAATAAGGCACTTAAAGACTAGTAAATATTACAAGAATAATCATTATGGACAAGTTCACTCTAAGTGCCGCCAATATAACTATTATTTAGGTTACTCTAAACACGATGACTTTGATGAGCAAGTTTTAAGCCCTAACAAAATAAAAGCCCTCACTTTTGATGGTCATCATGACCTTTGAATCTTTGATATGTGGATTTATGACTTGAATCAATTCTTTGAATGACACAACTTATCTGATAATAAAAAAGTTAGATTTGCTAAGATGATGCTCATTGGTGAAACCAAACTTTATTAGAGAAATGATGAAGATTGTTTAAAGATGAGAAGTAAGCCTCTTATAACTGATTGAACTAAGATAAAACAACAATTACATGAAAAGTATCTACCCCAATCTTATAAGAATAAACTCTTAGACCAATATAACAATATAAGATAAGAGAACAAGTTTATCAATGAGTATATAACACAGTTTAATGATTACATGATGAGACATGTCATAAGAGAAAATGAAGTCATGACTTTGCATTGATTTTGTAAAGGTCTAAAGGATGATTTTAGAAACGAGGTCAGGCTTATAGGTGATTTCACTCGTGACCAACCCTATACTATAGGGCAAGATTATGAGTTGCTTATAAAGAGTTAATAAATAAAACATCAAGACCCTTCTAGGATTCCTTTTAGATCTCAATTTAGAAATAATGAATAATGATTCTTTATAAGGTGCTCCACCTTATAGACCCAATCCTAGTAATACTAAGATTTATAAAGAAGATAATAACAAACAAGTCATTAATGAAATGTCTAGGTCGAGTTCAGAGGTCCAGTATGCTAAATGTCAAGGTTTCAATCATAAGTTCTTTAATTGTACCTCTACACCCTTAGTCATTTAAGAATATAAGAAAATAGGTAATAAAGAAAACTATTGTGTATAAATGTATGAACTAAATCCCACTTTAGTGATCTAGATAAAGAGAATGCGTAATAAGAGGGACTTAACATTATAAGTGCATATGAGCCTGAAAAATAGAAAGAAGTTTTAGGAAACTTGTTAGTGGCTAAAGAGGTGAATATGGTCTTAAAAGAGTCTCGTGATACTAGTTCTTTTAAACTATCTAATTCTCCACCCAATATGCTTGACATCTAACACGTCAAAAATTTATAACAACATGCTTCTCACCCTCTCATGTTTGACATCCAGCATGTCACAGGTTTAGAATAACATTTTGAGATTCATGATCCTTTACCCCTGACACGTGGTGAGATAGATGAAGATAACGTTGATTTAATAGGTTATGTCAATGCTATATCTACTAAGGCTTCCAATAGTGTTTGTTCCACTCCACATTCTCAATTATATAGTATGCATAGTTATGAACCTAAAAAGCATGTAGATCATCTTTCTATATCTCCTTACCCTAAAATGTCTGATTCAACTGAGTCTTTTACATATAGAATTCATAATTTACATGTTGAGATCATAAAACAAATTTAAGCAAATAATGAACATCATAAATTCCGAGTTGATTTATGATTAGTAAAGCTGATTTATATAAGTATCATGATGCACTTAATATTGAAGATTATTTCATGATACAAATTTGACCTGAATAGTGTCATTTGAAAATTAGTCATAACTTACAAGTGAGTAGTGCTAGACGATTCAAAGTGTTACAAATGATTGAATTAAATAATTATATTATTAAATTACAATTAAACTTTGATATTAGCTCTACTTTTGACATGGAGGACCTCGTTATATATAAAACACAATAGTCTATTCCTGATGCTTTTTTTGAAACCCTTGCCCCATTATTCTTATATTTGGGAGAAAAAGAACACATTAATGCTACTTTGAATGCACAAGTTGTTTTTACCATGAATGATGATCTTAGCAAATCCTAGTATATAGGCTAGACGACCAAATTCAAACTATACATGGATTATCAAAGAGACATCACAACAACTTAATCCTTATTTTTTAGAGTGTTATCAGAGTTGCCTTGATCTATACTCGATGAGGTCGAGTTCTTCCAACCTCGAGAGAATTGGTGAGGACACCGAACCCGAAATATTGTTTATGTATTAATATTGTCATAGACAATGGAGGATAACTCAAAAAATTTAAGATAGCAGGCTTTAGCTTATATTTTGTTTAATTTATATGAACTTTTAGTTGAAGTTTATTAATAAGGTTTTATTTGTTAGGTTTGATTTAATTATTGTTGGGTCTTTTATTTAGTGTGTCATAAGTCCAATCACTTGTTTTAGTTAGGGTTTTAATATTTATATCTTTCTTTTCTAAATGTTATGGAATTTTTTTATGATTAATTAAAAATATTATAGAGTTGCATATTTCCAATCCCCATTCTTCTCTTTCTTACCTTCAATTCTTAACTTATTTCTCTAAAAGTTTCTTTCTTTTTTGCTTTAATTATTTTAGTTTATTATTCACGTCAGAGGAATTCTTATCGTATTTGAATCTATCTGAACAATTGGACCTAATATATGGTGTAGTTGATCATCTAGGTCTCTTATAGGTTGGAAAGGTAAAGTTTCTTTAGTAAAAAAGTTAAAGAAGTAAAAATCCTTTAAAATCTATGCTAGTAGAATCTATATATGAAGACTAGTAGAATCTATATATGAAGACATGAGAGGGTGATTTGATAAAGATGAGCAAACAAATATACAAATAAAAGAGTGTGTGTGTGTATAAATAGAGTTATTTTAAATTAAAATTTATTTTTGAAAAAAATATCCATTATTAGTTTGTTATTCACACATGTTAAATATATATGATTGTAAATTTGATTCTCGACATATCCATTAAGTAAAATTACCTATTAATTTTCATTTATTAATGAACAACTTTTTTTTAGAGGATAAGTGTTATATCATAAAAAAAAATATGAGAAATAGTTAAAAGAAAAAAGAGAAGGAGAGTGACATGATAACTAGGATTAATTAAAAGAAATTTAGAAGATAAGAGTTATGGCCATGCATAAAAGAAGAACACACACAAAATTAGCTCTATAAATAGGTGTAACAAGCCACGCAATAACTTTTATGAATGCAAGATAGAGAAAAGAGCCCTAAAAAAGAAGAGGTTATTGGCGATTGATATATAATTAATAAAACTTGATATTTATATAATTTTGTAATATAAATTTATAATTACTCGGGTAAATCTGTTCAATTAAGATTAAACCAATTATAAAAAGAAAAAAAGGCTCACCCAACTCTAAATCACCACTAGCTTTCACATTAACCATTCACTATAGAATTCCGAGAAGGAGAAAGAATGCAAAGAAGCAACATGAGCAGTGCTAATTGTAACCTCACAAGTAGACATCTCTTTCAAGCCAATGGAATCAGCTGATTGTGAAAGCCACATCTTCACATTCTGGGAATGCAGAATCAATGCAGACCTGCAAAAAAAAAATAAAAAAAAATCATAATCAAAGATTCTGGGTTTCTCTTTGTACTATTTTCTTTGGACAGTGGACCCCATGGCCGTTCGCCAGATGAATTGAAGAGTCAAGGAAGAAGGAACAGAAAAAAGGCAATGGCCATTCGACACTCGGCCTTTGTTTTTCTTTTCTTTTCTTTTCTTTTTTTAAAGTATTTTTTTTGTTTAAAAATTATATTAAAATAATATTTTTTTTATTTTTAAAATTTTATTTTTAATATTAATATATTAAAATAATCTAAAAATAAATTATTTTAAAGATTTTAAAAAAAAATCAGAAAAGAAACATGGTTTGCAAGAGAATTTTGCTTTAAGAAAAAGAAAAATCTTCGAAAAAAGACAAGAAAAGAAAAGAAAAGAAATTGCGGGCTATATCATTGGTTGTAACCACCCACAACCCACAACCCAAAACCAGAACAAAAAGAACAACACTCTTCTCGAAGTATGGTTTTCACATCAAACCCTTTATCACTGAGCGTCCCTGACACCTCCTTCGACGCATGGCTCCGCGACTCTGGCTACCTCGAAATTCTCGACCAACACTCCTCCTCATCCGCTACCGCAGCCCCCGCCACTACCTCAACTATCACGTCAACTACCACCACAGCAACAGCCACTGGCCTCTTCATTTCATTCTTTTCCCATATTCCAACACTCCTATCCCTCTTCACTCTCAACCCCTTCTCTAAACTCACCACCGATGACTTCTCGGGTCAAACCCCATCTTGGACCCGGTCTTTTTTCGCTGACTGTGGGTCCTACTCGTTTCCATCCGGGTCGGACCAGGCTAGGCTTCGGGTTAATGAGAATGTTAAACGTTATGCGAGAAATTATGCCTCCCTTTTCATTCTCTTCTTTGCTTGTACTTTGTAAGTGTTTTCCGTCTTTCTTTCTGTTCATTTATGTGTATTTTGATTTGGGTTGTTTTCAATTTTTTATTTTGCTTGCGGAAAATTTAGAAATATTGAAGTTTTTTTCTGGGTGCGTTTGGTTGCTGAGAAAATTGGAGGGACTGAAAAGAAAGGGAAAAACGAATTTTGGGTTTTGATGGTGTTATTGTTTTATGCTAGTTTTTGGTGTTTCAAGTATGTAAATGGTGTTGCTTGTAGCCTACCATCCTATTGCTTAAGGTTTATAGGTCTTTTAGATTATATTAGGACTGTTCAGCAAATGATGCATGGTTCTATAGTGATTTGTTAAGTTTCTATAGAAATTGGAATACTGTAGAAATTCAATCTTCAGTCAGTATGGAAGGCAATCATTGAACCTGGATCATTCTTGATCTGACCTTTATGCTTTTGTATTTTTCAAAGAATGGCGATAGGGATGCTTGTGGCATAAGTAATTTTCCTATGTTGTTAATATTTTTGTGTTTTTAATTTTCTTATCTGGTAATTAACTCTTTGTATGTCATTGGGGTTGTAGGTATCAAATGCCACTTGCTCTTATTGGATTGATATCAAGTTTGGCACTTTGGGATGTTTTCAAGTTCTGTAGTGATAGGTGGGGATGGGATCGATATCCTGTACTTCGGCAAGTTATGGTCCGGACAGCCCAATGTGGTAAGTGATCAAGTCATTTCCTTTTGTTATCATATATCGTTAAACAGGTCTGCTCTGTAACTAAAACACGGTTGGTACTTTCAAGAATATTGGGGACTGTTAAGAGAAAAAACATGGCCACTGGAATTTTCTTTTGCCTCTTTCACAAGCATTTGTTTTCAGCTAAGAACTGAGCAACTTCCTGCATTTAAGGTAGAATTGGGGCTAATGATAGCCTAACTGAATGATCGTGAAATCAATTGGAAATAGATTGCTGTTCCATTTTAATCCAGTGTTTGCACCTCTAAACAAATGGTGGAATTGGACAGGTTGAGATTCTTTAAACTCATGTTTTCTTATTACTTGACTTCCATTTGCTCGTTCCTATTTGACTTTTTTTTTTCCTAAGCTTATGAGTATAGCAAGGCAAATTGTGGATGATGAAAATTATTTTCTGGACCTGACTTCATCATATCAACCTGTCATTGCAGTAACTGCAGTTGTTCTGATATGTTTAAACGTTCAAATGGCTTTCTTTTGTGCAGTTGGCATTAGTTATACAGGTAAAAAATTTATGTTATTTTCCATTTCTTCTAGTCATGTTCCTTTTTTCTTGTATGTTGAGGGAAACCCTCATGGTCCACCTTTCTCATTCAGTAATGTTCCTTGCCCCTCATCTGAGCTGCTATTTCCTTATCCTTTTGCAGTTATGGTCTTGCATGCTGCATTTCGAAAGCTGACTCCTGCAAAACAATCTGCTCGCAGTAGATGAGGTAGGAAATTTGAAAACTAAGCTGCAAAACAAGAGGCATCAATTTTGATTCTGCTTTGCTGAAATTGGTGGACTGGTTCTGCAGATTGGTTGGATGTGAAAAAAGGCTATCTCTAATATAGTGGTGGGCAGGTCTTTTGTTTATCATTTTGCAGTCGCACTTGTCATGCGAAGTAAGAAATGCCATATTGCTGATTCAGTTTTGATCCAATGTACACAGCAGTGTAAATTGCTTTGCTTATCTAGTTGTCACCATAAAAATACGAGTCAACAAAGATATTTCAAGCTGTGACATCATGCGAGCTCGAGTGAAAAAAATTTGTAGTTCCTGTTATATTTTGAGGTGTCCATTTGATTTGTTTACTTTAGTTCTGTCAATTGCCTGGTGGCCTTGTAGTATACGTGGGATCCATTTGATGTTTGACTAATTATTCCTCTATCTTTAGGCTTTAATTTTTCTTCCTTGGAGAAAATGAGATCTTCAATTATGGAAATTTAAGCTCCGAATTATGTTTTGCAATTACTTCAATTAACTGAAGAACTTTGGTAAATAGAAGGTTCTGTTGTTTCTAGTGCCAAAACTCATAAAATAAAAAAGAAGGTCCAAGAAAGCCTTGAAATCCTGCTGAAGACTCCTCAAAAGCCCTGCTAGATTAGCACTATGAGCAAGCCAGTAAAAAACTACTAAATCCCATAACGACTGCTTTGAGAGAAGAGTTCTTTAAAGAGCGTGAATATTCTATGCCTCGTAGTTACTGTCCACTTGTATGCATAAAAGCGAAGGCTGTTCAAATGTCTCGGGCCAACGGGCAATTTTGACAATGAAACTCTCTGCAGAGAGATGTAATCAAGGCATCAGCATCCTCACCTGCAACGTATCGCTAGTTTAACTTAAGCACCAATGTCCGAAAAAGGCCTTCTGACTCCGATGATTGCATGTTTATTTTAGGTTTTGGCGTGCAATGCTGTGGAGTTCAGCAATATCAGTGGCTTGGAGCTACAGAAGGTCGAGTTGCTTGTTTTGCGTGCTTTTACTATAATCTGTTGCTGGTTCGTCTGTGTTTGAATGTTCAAATGGCTGCTATTCAATCTTCGTTTTGAATTTATTTATTTGGTGTGATTGCTGCGATGCTCTTCAGCAATCTGGGAATTTTTGGAAATCAAAGAAAAATACACATAATGGCAGGGAAATTTAACAAAAAAACCATGTGCTCCCTATTTTTACTTTTAATTTTGGATAAAGCTGTGATTCCTGTGTATATTTGCATCTCAAGACACAGATAAGAATAAAAGAAACATAAGGAAGCTGGTGAAGCTTCCATGGATGCCATGGTAGAATGAGCAATAGAGGAGGCAAGCTGTGATATCATAACAGTCCAGTAAGTTTGCTTTACTTAGCATGTAGGATATTCGACATTTCACTTGTAATATTTCAGTCCAGAAAGTTTGGCTGCTCTTTCAGTATTCTTTTTTTCCTTTCTGATGAATGATGAGCAAGTTATTTGAACCGCATATAGAGGAAAGAATATGATTAGTGTTACAGATTGTTTGTTTTGGTTCTTCTATGAGCAAAGGATCCTTACCATCTAGACATAACATTTTTTTTTTTCAACTAGCTTGGAAATGAGTTTTGTTGCTATACAGAAACTTGCTCTGCAGCCTTTGTTCCTTGGTTCTCAACTAGAAGGTACCATATTAATACATGATCTCTTGTCGTTCTTTTTGTTGGATCTGTTTAGTTATAAGAACTAGGGCAAGGAAATTGCTAGGATCTGAATCAGAGTGCAAGGCATTCCATTGCGTATAGAAGATGTAATTTTAGGAAAAGAGGAAGAAAACGAGCTGCAAGAAAAATTTCCGCTGCTACGCAACATGTATGAGAGCCGAAATAAGGGTCAGTCTTTCCATGGCATCCGGTAACCACACATGAAGGGGAGATTGCGCCGATTTAGCAATTGCATTGGAAAATAATAGGAAAGCACGCAGGATAACAAATAAAAACATTAACCTTATTATCATTATTATAAATTAAGTTATTGAATATTTCAACAAATCCCAAAACTCCAAATTGCTTGAAGGGGGCAGGTTTGTAGCGGAGGTGGAATCTGGTAGTGGAGGATATATAGTTGATGGGATGGGCGGTCCTCCCTGTCTTCTATGTTTGCAAGGGTGAGTTGATTGATTTGCGATCGAGGTGGTCTTCCAATCAGGGGAAGGTGGGCGAAGAGGGATCTTTCTGAGTAGAAGGAAATTTTGAAGAAATGGGAGGACATCTGATTCCCAATGAGTGAGGATCTTTCTTGCCGGTTTAGTCGGATTTGTCCTCTCTATAATTGGAGTTCTTGTCATAATCGTTTTCTTGATGGTGTAGAGAAAGAGGAGCATTAGCAGAAGTAAAGAAGGCAGAACCTGTAGATTGAATAGAGTGCCATCAAGGTTGGTGGTTTCGGGGATAAAGTCAGCTAATATGGGGTTGAATCGCAACAGAATTGTCAGTAAAGGATCTTCAACCCGCATGAAAGGCGTAATGACCTGGGCACTGTCTTGGAGAGAGGCTCAGCGAGCTCTCGCTCATTCAGTTCACTGAACCTGAATCCGAACCCTTCCACCAAGAAGACAAACAGAGCGATCAGTGTGTTCAAAAGAGCTATCATGCTTTTTCTGGCTTCTGGCCTACACAGATAAGGTTGTTTTTGTTAGGAGGGAGATCGGTGGGATACCTCAGTTCAGTTATGGTTTTTATTCTTTTGTTGAATCCGAGTTCCTCATGCCATGAAGACCAGCCAAGCATAACTAAAGCTCCACAACCTGTTCTTCCCGTTCAACACTTCTAGTCCTGACTTTGCTTTCAGTGGACCCCATCTGTATCCTTCCCAGCGACGCTGCTTGTGCCGACCACCCAAGCAGATGCGATTCTGTCTCTTGCTAAGAAGAATGCGTATGTTGTGGCAATTTCACCCAGAAGGTCTAGGAAAGGATGGCCGCAGTGTGCAGGTATATGATAAAGAAAGAAGATATTGCAGTTAAAAGTTCTTGCAATCACCCAAAAACCACAGGCATTCACAGTCCAGGTGGATTAGCAAATCCAAACTGCTTCTATACATACTCGTTGCTACTGAATTCCTATGCTCCAATGCTAGAGAGAATTCCCCCTAGAAAAATGTCAGTTATTTCTAATTGTGGCTCCTTAAAACATCAATAAAAAATGAGACTAAAAAGGAGCAATCTAAGCAAGTGCAAACATGATTAAAAGACTCAAATCCCCATTAGCATGACAATCAAATGCCATCACTTAAAGATCATAATTTCAGTATTTCATAATAGAGTATCACTACAATAGCTGGTCATTGACAAATATCCTCCTCTTAGAATAGCAACAACCTTGACAAAATTCATGTGCAGAAGTGATCTTTCAGGTGTGAACTTGATTTTACTGGCATTTGCATTATGACAATCTCAGAATTCTTTGACCTCTTAATCTGGTAACCTCTCGCCTTAACAGAATCTGACTCCGATCTCAGATGAAAGGGTTGAAACTTTTCCCTCTTCATCACCTTTCTTTTTCTGTCATGAAATTTTAATGGACATAGAAACGATCAATAATAGTAGATAAACTCAGTCCACCAAGTCTAGTAACTCATGCATCCAGAAATTACTCTGCTGGAGATAAGATGCTCTTAGAAAGGTGTAAATTTGCAACCATAATTACTGAAACTTAAATCATGCCAAAACTATATGACTAAAATCTTGGAAGACCAAACAAGCTTTTCTATTTCCATAAATACATATAATATACTCTCAGATCACCAAAATTTGCCATTAAAGAAACTAGCACATTACCTAACCTTCCATGAATAAAGTAAACAAGTCGACTTTGAGCAAGGAATTTTTTGACATAAACACATTGCAAGAAAGCAAATTTCCATAATCTGTGCGTCCGCATCAAAATTGGCAACGCTTGTTTTGCTTATGCACATACATATCTGTATCAAAAGTTCGGAATCTGAACAAAATCTTTGGCACTATGCTAGATTATATTTTGATTTCAAGATGCAGAGAGAATGAAGAATTCTAATCTGGAAGACCAATCAAGTTTTTTTAGGGAGATGTAGAACAACATGCATGCAGATATGCATGATGTTAATAGTGATATATACGTAAGAAATTATCAAAATAAAAGGTATTATTATTTCAGGGATTAGCAACGAGTTACCTCTGGCTCTGGCAGTTTCCGCACCTTTTCTCCTCTTGCAACAACGTTGAGTGAAACTAAACTTGGATTATATGCAATCGCATGGATACCTCCCTTAGTTTGAGTTATTGTACTCTTCCTCGCAAGCTTTTTCAGTGTTGTGTTGTAGCAGACTAAGAATTCACCATTGAATGATATCAAGATTTCGCCAGTGCTCAAGAAAATTAAGGGTTCATAAAATTTCAAGCGGCCAACGTCTGGATAAAGGTTTTCAATCACATACTGTTGGATCCAGGACTGCTTGATTCCATACTTCTTCATAACCCATATGCCAAATTTGTCAACACTGCCAACCTTCTCAGGAACACTTACACATAGACAATCTTTCAAAACTCCCAACTTTACCCTGGCATCATTTCCATCATATGTAGGAGGTAATGGCAATTGCCCAAACTGCTCTTTTCCAAAGTTAAAAGAACAAATAAACTGCAAAATTTTTTGATCAGGAATCCAGTGGATATAACCATGCACAGAAGTATCAAAATCCAGTTTTTCAATGCAAGAAAGAGGATTTCCTATTCGTCTCCATTTTTTCGTGCCAATTGTATATATCTCAGCCCTAGGGTAACCTGAAGCTCTTCTATTGGTCTTAAGACAAAAGGTTCGCAACACTTTGAACTCATCTTTGCCATTGGTGATGCCAAGTCCAAGACAAAAACTATTTTGATAAAACGGCAGGGGTCTATTCACCGAGATTGTTATATGCTCACGAAAAACTGGATTGCAAACATGAATAACATTGCGGGATTTGCCTTCTGATATGCAAAGCAAACCACGACAAGAATTCACTAACTCAAAATTTGAAGTGGGCAAGTCCTTTTTTGGAACAAGCTTCTTTGACCTCTCAACCTGGAAAGTTCTACCATTAACTCCTTCCGCTATCCGAACTGAAATGATTTCTCTTGATTGGTACGTTTCGGGTATGGTTTTCACCAACATGCGAGGGTGTGATTCAAGCTTTAGTTTGGAAAAGTAAGTCTCTGAAATCAAGTGAAGCCAAGTTTTGCAAACCAACCTGCATTGCCCTAGGGCAGGTGACCTCATGGGCAATCTTGATAGTATCTCTTCCAGCAAACAAATCGGGAGGTCGGTGGTTTCGGTTTTTGTCACTTTCTTCCTTCTATGATCCATGGAGGCGTAAAGGTTTCTTGTTTAGAGGGACAAGATGAGTGAATGTACAAGGTTAACTTCGCTTCAAGAAGAGGGGTTCTTGAAAGCTTTGGCAGTTTGCGAGGAAATGAAAGAACGAGGTTGTTAATTTGTGCAAGATTCAGAGAATGGGTGCCAAATGCAAGAGAAGAAAAAAAAAAGTTGCTGTATGCCAGATGATATAACTTTCAATTGCTTCAAGTCGATAAAAAAGCATGAACAAGCTCGTGGGGTTTTGGAGAGAAATGGATGCAAGATCAATTATGGTGATAATTGTAACTTGATGGAAGTAATTGTAGGCAGTTGGGTATATGAGGAAAATGAAGCAGGAGAACGAACGAAACTGGGAAAGAGATGTGATCAATATGGTCGAATCGCCCAATGTCTGTATACAAGAGAAGAGGAAGAGAGAGGTTAGGCGATCTTGGTTCGGTTTTAAGGCTCTCTTCAAGAACAGAGAATCTGATTCAAGAAGTCGTCATCTACTTTACTGGTTTGGGAGATGGTGGGCTCCGAATTTGTTGCGAGGGCTTTATATTGAAAATCCCGTTTGCCCTAGCAACGGCAAGCGACTATTTATTCGGAAGAAAGCTCATGATTTTATCTAGGTCTCGATCTTAAGGTCAACCCTCGGAGATGATCCCAACGAATAAATTATTTTATGCACGAGTCAATTAGCAGCTTTCCTGAACAAAGTGAATTCCTTCTCTATGATGCTAAAAGAGTACCACATCTATCTTCAGATAAGCACCCAAGCTTTTTATAACGATGAGGATGAACAGCCCAAAAAATCAAAATATAAGTTATTCACAAATTTTCTTCTCGAAAGAGTAAATAGCCTACAAAAAGTTCTACCAGCTAACCATGGCCTGTGTTTGGCACTGCTACATTAAAACTTGTCCACAAGAAACAATGTTAGGAGGACATGATCCAGCAAAAGTTTAAGAGAATAAAAAGGCTATGCACAAGCTTCTCACTGTCTTCATTTTGATTCTTTAAAGAAAACATGATGCTTGACAACAGGGTCATATTTCTTAATCTCAAGCTTCTCACTCTTCTTTCCTTTTCTCTTGGCATACACATGTCCAGTTCCCGCAGCTGAGACAAGCCGGATGATTTTGAAGCTATCCTTATTCTTCCTGGCTGCCTTCCTTCTACGCTTCTTCTTCTTCTCTCGGTCACCACCCTTTCTTCTGCTCTGTATCTGCAGGCAGAACTCGAAAGGTTTGAGATTAAGAGACACTCTAAGCCCTTTCAAAAAATTGATTTTCATTTTCAAATTAATGATGGCATAAAATCAAAATACAAAAAATACTTTTGATAAGAAAATAAATCTTCTTTTGAAAGGAAAAAAAAGTTCACTATGATAGAGAGAAGAATAATGTACATAAAAGAGAAGAGGCAGCTTCTTAAGAACAGAAGAAATAAGAAACTGGAAACACTCTGCAATCGTCCAAGAAAGCAACTGAACAAAAAACAAGTAATAGAGCACTATTTTTTATCCCAAATCAAATGCAAAGATAAATGCCTGTCCGGAAAAATTCTATAATCTTGTCTCACATAAGATACACCAAAATTTTGGAAAACAAACAAACTGCTACAATATGTCAACAACTTACAATTTCCAAAAACTGCAAATTGACTCAAAAGAAAGTACCCCTCCAAGCTTTGAGGGAAGATACATGGATGCATGAGTAAGTGATTTCACACCTAACGGGACACATGCATGCACTTATTGATAACACAATTAAGCCTTCTTTCTTGCAACAAATTGTTAAAATGTTATGCAGGACTGCAATTCTACAAAGCAAAAACATATATAATTTTAGAGAGCACCTTAATGTTTGAGATATATTAGTCAAATGATATTGAGAGGGGGAAGGACTATATGTAGAATGAACAACCAATGATTCGCACGTAAACTTTTCTGAAGAATCCCAAGTCCAAAATTCTCCTATTTATCCTTGAAAAAGAATTAGAGATTAGAATGTGGGTAAAGTTGCAAAGAAAATAAAAATTTCAAGAAAAGATTCACTTTGGGATTGTTGAAATTAAAGGTAGGAGAGCAACCAATAGTTGAAAGAGAAAAGAGACGGGGAGAATATACACAGAATTCCCCAAATCCAGAAATTTTACCAAAATTCAATTCATCAACCATCTCTCCAGCCTTATGATGAACTAGAGGATGTAAAAATACCTCAGAGATGAAATTTATAGGTTCAAATAGGTGTCATAAACACAAACTTTAGCACCCAACCACTTATGTAAGAGGCCATATACACTTCAAAGCACTTTATGCTCTCAAGAAGAGAACGTCAAAACCCTTCAGCTACTTAAGTTATTCTTAAGTGTTAACTTCCCAGTCCCAAGACCCTTTCAGATTTTGATTGGCTTGGATCCACCTTTTAAACTCAATTCTTTTAGATCATGAAAGATACCTCTCCAATTTTATAAGGGCAGCACCAACTGCCACCTTAAACAAAGATATATAGGGATAGGGATTGCCGAAAAAAGGATCATCAAGTACTGAGACCATCAACAGAGAACAAAGGCCCATTCAATCCAGCCAATCTCTTTAAAATCCTTATACCAACCGATCCTAAAGCTGTGCTGAAGGTTTGAACAGAAAGGAATACCCAAATAGTGAAGGTGGCGCTCTTAGAAAGTGTTTGTTTTTGCGGTCCAACCATACTTTTAAAAAATTTGAATTTTTTTTTTGAATTTTTTTTTAATGTTTTTGGATCTTTTGGATGTGCTGGTATCAAAAATAAATTTTTAAAAATAAAAAAATATTATTTTAATGCATTTCTAAGTAAAAAGCACTTTGATACCACAATCTCAGACGCCTGCCTTAGTTGGTACAACCAACAGAAGCGGCATTTGATCCATTATATCAGGCTCAAAATAAAAGTTGGCTAAACCACTCTTGTGCGCGCTAATTTTGAGAACACAGTCCTCTAAAACATGTGCAGCAAAGATGGCACATTGAAGAGCATGCATAGGAAGGAGGGGTATTCCACTTTATCACAGCTCCATTCAACCATTAAACCATGTTTTAAGTTCTCCGTTAACCATCATTGAAATACTAACTACAAGCATCATCTGTCCACTTTCTCCACCTTTTGAGGAATTCATGTTTCACATTTCGCAGTCATCTATCTTTTAAAAATCTAGTAAAATACCACCAACTCCAAACCAACATTCATCATCCTTAACTTCAAAATTCTCCATAGCTTTCACATATAAATTCATGATTGCAAAGGACCAACTTATCTGTCAGTAAAACAGAAGGCATGCTTCTCAACACAATTAGTCATCTTTCTAAAATGGTACGACAACAATATGAGGAAATAGACATATGGTGTTTAGGCAAATTTTAGTGAAACTGGCATGAATTTGAAAGGAGGTACCTTTCTCTTCCTAGTATTGGCACCATATCTTCTAGCCATGCAAACAACAGACTGACGAATTGACCTCTCAATAGTGTTTATTGACAGAAAACCTGAGAATTGACAAAAGCCCATTACTTGAGGAAAAAAAGTCTCCCATATGCATTTTGCTCTGTTTGGTACCTAGAAAATGAAAGGCATTAGAGAAAGAAGTAGAAAAGAAACAGTTTTTTTTTTTTTGGTTTAATATAGACGATCACAGGTCAACACCCCTTAAATTTGAGAAAACCTGAGTACTTAATAAATGCAAAAAAAAAAAATCCATTTTCTCTGTTTGGTTACAAATAATCGAAGTAAGAACAAAATTTAAACTCGAATGTGATTGATAACGCACTTACAAAAACGGAGATGGGTATTTTGGTTTCCCAAGAAAGCAACAACCTTTGACATCAAAGACCCAAAAAAAAAAAAAAAAGACCCAAAATTTTGCTTTCTGGTCACCAAGCAATTACTTTAAGCAAATGGGTTATCTTGATTCGCATAGAAAATTTAATTTGCAAGAGAAAGAGGATTGTAATATACCTTTGGAGAAGAGACCATGAGAAAGGAGGTTAGAGAGAGACCTGGAAGTTGCAAGCTTTAGATGAGAAGAGAGAGAAAGTTTGGTGGTGAGAGATGGATTCCTTGGCATGCAAGGAAGAGTCAAGCAGTGAATTGCAGTTGCCATCATCATCTTCTTTGTCTCTGTGTCGCGGGAAATTTGGAGATCACAATTTGAATCAAATGGAATCGGCTTTCACTACTGGGCACTAGAAGAATCAAACCCACACTGTAGAAAAGAAGGAAATTAGGTACTTGTTTAATTTAACAAGTTTTTTAATAAGTAGAGAGTTCCGACGTCTACTAGATAACTCAAGTTAACATTAATAATTTAATAATAGAAGAATCGAAACAACATGCTTTTTTTATATAAAAAAAAAGTCGATGGTTTTTTTTATTAAGTTTTACTATGGTCTTGGGCTATAGTTTTTATTAGATTTAATAAATTAATTTTATTTTAATTAAATAAAAAATAATAAATAATAAACAAAAAAATAAATAAAAGATGGTGAAAACTTAGAAAAAAAAACTTTGGAAGCATGAAATAGAATAAAAAAATAATAGAAAACAGTCTAGATGAACTCAAAATAACATTATAGATATATAACTTGAGTAATAAGAAACAAACTAACCCGGATTAACTTATAAAATTCATAGTTTAAGTCATAAGATTGAGATAACTAATATAAAAAAAAAATTCAAGAAAATCATAAAGCCAATTTAAAAAAAAATATCAAACAATAAAATTAGAAAAGAAAATGAACCATATAAAAGGATGTCAATTCACATTAATTTTTCAAATTCATTACCTAAGTCAATAGACTAAAAGCATCATAAATGAAAAACAAAACACAAAACCCAATGATTCAACATTGAAGGATAAAATTATGGGAAAAAAATCAATCATATAAAAAAATTCAAAAAATAGCAATTAGAAGAATAAAAATCAAAATCAAAATAAAAAAAATAGAGGGCAACCATAAATTTTTTATTGAATAGTGAAATTGAGAAGAAAAATAAATATAATAAAAAAATAAAAATAAGGATTAAATTGAAAAAATAATATACCATAAATTTAGATTAAGAGATGAAATTGAAAACTAATAAAACTTTCACAAAAGGGTTAAAAAAGTTCAGAAATAAAAAAAAAAAGTAAGGACCAAAGAAAAAAAAAACAACACATGACAGATAGAAATTGAAGGGTGAATTTGAAAAAAAAATCAAAACTTCAAAAATTAAAATCCAAGAGAACAAGAATCAAATCCAAAGGCAAAACAAATTGAGTGACAACTTTGAAAAATTACAGAGTCGACGAAAAAACTAAGAAGAAGAGAAAAAAAGAATAAGATAAAAAAAAGGGTTAATATAACCAAACTTAAAATCCATTCAAGATAGGTGCTGACCAAGGATGGAGGGTCTACTAAGATGATTTGAAAGCTACTGTTTGTCCACTTGAAGATCACAACATTCTTTCATATATTGATATATGTTATGCGCTTGCCAATTATGTTTTTAATATTATTTAAATATAAAATGATAATTATACCCCTTATCCTAATTAAAAATAAAAAAAATTAAAGAAAAAAGATAATAACTCCAACCAAAGTGGATGAGCAAAGTAAAATAAAAATGCATTTAAAAGTGAAAAGATGTAAATGCCCTTATATGCATTACCTAATTTTTTTTAGCCCTAGGAGTATTTTATTTTTTTTATTGTTCATGAAAAAAAATAAAAAATCTTAATATCTCCATTAGCCAACCTAATTGTTTATGGCTTGGAAGCAAAATCATAAATTTATTATTGTAATTCTAAGCCTATAGCTTTAGTAAAAACATTTATAGGGCTCCTTTTCTTTTTAATTTTTTTTAGTTTTGTATAAATTAAAAAATAATTTGGTTTTTAATGTATGAAATCAGACCTAACATACTCTTATTGTAAATAAATTAAAAAAATTTAATATTAAAAAAAAGAATTAAATAAAGAACCCACCTTTTAAAAAAAAAGGACTAAATAAAAGACCCATCTATCTAAGATATAAATCTTGATATGAACAAAATAACTTTAAACTAAAAGATTTTATTATTTTTTATCTTAAAATTTTTTATTTATAGAAAATTGTTGTTCTGTTGAATTATAGGCACATACTTAAAAAACTTAATTGGAGACATAGTGTGAACTGAGTTTTTTTTTTTTTTTCATCCTTGTAGAACCAAATTATAAGTTAAATTATTAAGAGACAAAGATTAAAATGAAAAGAAATAGAAAAATAAGTGACAATCTCAAAGTTTGAGAAATGAGAAAGAAAGTCACTATATTCTCATAGTATAGAGAGAAAATGTTGATTAATATTGATTTAGTCTATAAAAAGATTAATCTTGGTGTAAATAAATTTTATTTATTAAGAGGAGTATCATGTAGGTGTTATCTAGTTTTTCTATAACTTAAAATGATAGATTTAAGCTCAGGAAATTTTTTAGTTTTAGATTGATTTTAGGTTTATGAATTAGTTTTTGGCTTATTTGAGGCCATATACAAGTTTAAAGGTATATGTTGTTTTATAGGTGTTTTGAATTAAAAAAATGAATGGAGAAATGAGATTTTAGATCAAAAAATCAAAAATCTTGATTTTTTAACCATCATTATGATAAAAATCTAGAAAGAAATAGGTGACATATTATTTATCTTTTTTCTTCAAAAAAATTTAAGACAAACAATATATAGCTTGCCTTATTTCAAAATAAAAAAATAAAAGCCCACGCACACTAACCCTTTTCAAAATGAAACAAGCGCGCCAGCCTGACTTGTTGCCTAAAAATATCTTGTTTTTTTTCATAGTTTTTATTTGATAGTATTTTTATTTTTATTTGAAATAATTTTTTAATTTGTATTTAAATTAATACCTCCTCTCTTATTTTTTAGATTTTTTATTTAGTCCCTTTTTGAAATAGCTGTTATTTGTTAATTATCTTGTGTATATTTAATGTTTTGAAGTGATTATTCTAATTTATTTATAATTTTTTATTACATGTTTTTAAAATAAAAATTACTTGTTCTTGGTAAGAAAAGTGACCATTAAGATTTTTTTTTTTTAAAAAAAAGAGTGCATGAAAAGGGAAAAAATTGGAGTTAGATATTATATTTATCTATCTTTTACTTTTAGGGTAATAATTATTTTTTATTTTAGAATTTGATTGGTATTAGAGTTATTTCTCAATTTATCGATTCATACATTCTAAGATTTATTTTATTTAGTGTAAACAATGTCTTTATGTTTCCCAATTAAAAAAATCATGATACAGTTAAATACACTTTCAATATTATTTTATTTTTCTATTACATTAAAATTTAACTTGAGATCTTACACGCGGCATTGCATTTAACAAATTTTTTTGTATTTATTAACGCATTTAATCCTCACTTTATTTTATTATATGTAAGCATCAACTTTTTGATTTATAGTTTTTTTTTCTCAATATCAAAAAGCATGTTAACAATACCTATATAATTATTCTTTTGTGTTAGAAATTAAAATTATCTGATCCATGATGAAGCGAGTTAAATAGACACATTAAGATTTTTTTTGCATTTGTTGGCACGAATAGTTCTCAATTTATTTAATTAAATGCAACCATAAGCATTTCTATTTATGATTCATATTTCTTTGTCAAAAAACATGTTGAAAAAGCTAATATATTTATTGTTTTGCTGAAAAAATAATTATCCAACCCATAGTAAAGTACGAGTCAAATAGCTAATAAAAAAAAACTAAACCTTATGGCATAATCATTATGGACCAAAACAGTGTAACCCCTCTCATATTCCATTATGGATCCACTATCTTTTTTTTTTTATTTTGATTATCAAACTTTTATTTTGACAATTTCATCCTTTTTAGATCTAATCAAAAGCCAATCTCTTTAAATTTATTGAGAAAGGGAAAGATTGAAAAAAGGAGGACAAGAGTGAAAAAGATAAAGAAAATAGGTGGTAGTTTAAAAATTAGATAAAAAGGTTCACTTTGATCCTCCTACTTTTCAAATGATAAACTTTTGGTCCCTCAATATTTCAAAAAAACCAATTTCAATCTAAATTTTTTTTTTTATGATTTTTTAGTCCCTAGTTTGAGGAAGAGAGAGAAAGTAATTAGATTCTAATGATAAAAAATTAATTCTAATGATAAAAAATTAATTTTGATGTCCAAGAGTTTCCTTCATTAAGAGGAGTTTATCATATGTATTCTTTGCCCTTTACCATGCATGTGATGTTCAATATGAGCTTAGAAAATTTTTTGGTTTTAGGTTAATTTTGGGTTTTTGTGTAATTTATGGTTATAGATAGGTTTGTTAATGGTGATAGATATAGGGTTTTCTAGGTATTTTGGGCTAAAACAAGTTGAAAATTGAGTTTTTTTAGCAAAAGAATCCTTGGCCTGAATTTCCAACGCTTGTGTGCTTGAGTTTTTTTTTGGTTCATTGGGTTTTTTTGTTTTATTTTTTATTTTTATTTTATCATTCAACAATAATTTTTATTTTATTTTTTTATAATTTTTTTGATAAAATATAATTTAGTTTTTAATTAGTTTATGAATACACTTTAAAAAAATGATCTTAGGAGGCATTATTTATGTGCAACCCTATTTTTTTTCTCTTTAATTATATTAAATCACTTTCCCATTTGTGTTTTTTATTATTGTTTGGTTCTGATAAATAATGCTATTAAATATAATTCCGTCCATGATTCATGTGTGTTTATTTTTATTATTATTGAATTAAATAAAAAAATTAATTATAATAATAAAATTATTAAACATGATTGAGGTCTTTTTCAAGTTGTTAGAGATTTTTTTCAAGTTGTTATTACCGTAAGGTATCCGATTTTTCTTCGATGGATTGACAGAATTCCAATTTCTGGTGGTTAGCTTTTTTCGGACAGACCACTGTTACCCTGTTTTGATCAATCCTTTTTGTTTTAAAATCACAAACACTACCTTAATTTCTATTTAAAAATTATCAATGGCAATGATGGTTGCATACATGATGGACGTTTGAAGGTTAAGGGAATTATTTTACAGGTCCAATTGGTGATTTTCTTCTTCTTTCTTTTTTCAAGAATATAAAAATGGCGATTTTAAATGGCATATGGTCCGCCAAAAGTAAGGTTTCCATAGGGCGAATCACCGTAAAACGATCATTTACTCATTGTTGAACACCACCCACATTAACCTCTTTAACCATCTCCACGCAATATGCGA